TAATCACATTAGAATGGTTGTCTATGAGAGAGGAGGGAAATGGGAGTGTGAAATGGAAATAAATAAATGAATAGATGTAAGAAATATGGGCAGATGGCCAGATAGGTCTCATACAGATCAATGATAATATGGGTGATTCGCATCTGTTATGATTACATAAATTATATTCATGTGTTATTCCTACATACGATTCATTTATATATATGATTTCACAAGCATTAACCATTTCTGGAAAGAGAGATAAAAGAGCTGCTAGCAATGCCCACCTCTAGGAAATGGAAAAGGAAGCTAGAGGACTTCTATTTCTCGTTTGCCACCCCTCTATACTATGCAAAGTTTTTCCCATCATCGTCATCATCCATTACTTGTTTTAAAAGAAATAAACACAAGTCTCTGCCCTTGAGGGAACTGAGACTGTGACTGAGACAATAAGAAGTACATAATATCCACATTTAGTCAAGTTTTTCTAGATTACATGATTCAGATATTCAAGTGCAATCAAAAGCCAGGGATGATAGGTCATTGACCTCATGAGGGAGAAAAGCCTTGAGGGAAGGGGTAGTGCTAAGCTGTCAGAGGAGAAGAGCCCTCAGGGAAGGCCCCTGGCCTTACTGAGCTGTCTTCCTCTGTGAAAGACAAAGTGACAGGCCAGCCCTGCCTACTTCTCGGGACACTAAAAGAAACAGAGAGGAGAATAAAAATACTGACACATTCAGGAAGTGCTACGTGCAAATGCCAAGTACAAGCTTACAGGAGATGCAGTATTATTATTCCCATTTCAAAAACAAGAAAACTGGTGTTTAGAGGGGTTAAGTGGTTGGTTGCAGCTACAGAGACCAGAGTTATAAGTACAGTTATACAAGCATCTGGCTCCAAGGCGTGTGGACCTTGAACTACTCAACACTGAGGCTTGGGGCTATTCCTCTTAAACCTCTACTTTGATTAAAGTATCACACCTTTCCCTCAAAGTCTCAATTTATTCATTTACTCACTGTCCCCTCATTTAAAGTACACCTAGGGCCAGGGATTTAGCTCAATAGTTCAGCCACTTGTCTCCCAGGCACAAGGTCCTGAGTTCAATCCCGAAACCAAAAAAAATTAAAAATTTTAAAATGAATAAATAAGTACAATATGCCTACTTGGACTCGGAGAGGCACCAGGCATTAAGGTCACCCACTTGTATTAGCCACACACTGCTCCTCACTCTGGAGTTCAATGGGTCTCCTTATAACCACAGTATAAAGTACAAACCTCTTAGCCTGCTCTTAAGACTGCTCACAGGACACCATGGGCCCACTTTTGCGGTTCAGCTCACATCCTTCCTTTCTTAGACACTCTTCCCTCAACATGTACTCCAAATATAAAACCATTCAGATATAAGCACACCCACATGGCCATGAAAAGACCAGTGGTAACGGATCAGCTCTGAAACGTCCCCCAAAGGTCTCATGTGATCAGAGGCAGGGCGTCTTGGAAGGCTATTAATTCATGGGGGTGCTATATGCACCGGGAGATCAATCCATTGGCATTCACAGCTGAATGTGCTGTTAAAAGGTGGGACTCAGCTAAAGGAAGCATGCCTTTGGAGGGTGTATCTGTTGCTCTACCCTCTCTGCTTCCTGGCGGCCATCGGTTAAGTGGCTGTCCTGCACCATGCCTCTCTACCATGCCATTTCTGCCTTGGAGACAGCCAGCCATGGACTGAAACCTCTGAAATCATGAGCCAAAATAAACCTCTTCTCCTTAAATTGTGGGTTTTAGGTATTTTTTTCCCAGCAACAGGAAAGTAATCAATGCACCAACACATTTGTACTCAACCTAATGTGCCCAGTTATGGAAAGAAAAACCGACAAGTACTCACCATGCTCAACTCCAAGCTGCCACCACACCATGGGAGCCTCAGAGACAACTGCTCACAACAAAATGTGCCTCAGAGCAACAGCAGGTTACCATGCTGTGGGCAAGAGTAATAGGACACCAGCCTTCTTTCCTCCCACAGACCAGCAGCTCACAAGAGAACTTCACTGTTTAACTATTTAAGCTTTGGCCTCAGATGTTTGCCATCAGTCCAGTCTCTAAAAAGAAAGCCAAGAATTCTCCAACACCAACTCCTTTGCTCTCCTCCTACCTCTTTGAATACTCCTCCCAGTCACCTCCTTGAACAGTGACTATATTTTCATCCTTCAAATAAAGCAGGGGTGCCAGGATCCACTGGCATTCTGCTGTTCACTCACAACCCACTTCTCCCTGCATATTCTCCTGGGGTTCAGGTCACAGCTTGAGTCCCACTATCCCCAAATCTCTTTTTCTCTGGCCCTTTGGTCTCTTGGATATTTTGACCCAACCCTTCTATGCCATAAATTGTAAAACCAAGTTTCTGTAAGGCCAAGGAAGTAACACTGAACACACAAAATGTGCCACATAGGAGAGCGACTTCAGCACCAACTTGGTAAATGGCAACTGGTTCCCCACCTTAGTGTACAAGATACAATAGGACAGTGGTTCTCAGCATATTTCCTGGACAAGTAGCATCACCTGAGAACTCAGAAACCCACATTTACTGGCTCAGAATGGATAGAGTAAGAAATCTTGGGATGGGGAGAATATGGGGTTGTGGCAAAGTGTGGAATTTATGCCTTGTTTTAAAGAGACAGCTACCCTTGAGTTTCAACCATCTGGAAATTGATTTTATGTGTTCCTCATAGGCTAACTTCAAATTCATTAAGAATGATATTCATGGGCTCAGGATGTAGCTCAGTGGTGCTGCTGCCTGCCTTGCAAGCACAAGGTCCTGAGTTTGATCCCCAGTACCAAAAGAAAAAAAAAAACAATGATGTTCCAAAAGCCTCTATTAACTCTTTAAAAGCTACTGTGCTGACTGCATTCCCACTTAGCAATTTACAGCTGTCCACACTAGAATACCTCTGTGCTTGATTTTACTCATAGATAGTGTTTTTCAGTGCTTCGCAGAGAATACTAGTGCAATCTCAGAACAGCTCCATCAGGAAGTTCTATTATTATCTAAGCCACAAAGTAGCAAAGACACATGCCCAAAGTCCAGAGGCTAGATTCAAGCTCAGGCATCCCCAGACCAGACTGAGCTCTCTGCTTCTATCCAGTGCTTTCTCTGGGCATAGGTGGCCCTCTGTTACCTTCTCTGCTCCTACTGAAGGGGAATACAGGCTGTAAAGCCCTGCTCATCACGACTACCACCATAAATCCCATCTAGGCCAGAATTCACTGGTCCTCCCCTCAGGTCCCAGAGCACAGAGCGTATACTCTGGTCTGTGTTAGGGTGGCAGTGTACCATTCATTCATCCTTCCCAGCAACAAGTGATTCCTGAGACTCTTGAGAAGTATCATGAGGGCCGGGGATTTAGCTCAGTGGTTTGGTGGCCTGCCTTGCAAGCTCAAGGACCCGAGTTCAATCGCTGTACCAAAAAAAAAAAAATTGGGACTATGTACTTTTAATATGAGAAATTGAAAAAATGGAAATAAAGTGTTTGTAAATGGGGAGGGGAGGAGGGGGTGAAGGGAGGGCAGGGACAAGGGGAAAAAACGAGAATCAAGACCTATTATGTAAAGGTACAGGATCCCAATAATGAATGTAACTGTATTGTATACCCAGATTGTACCAACAAACTCAATAAAAAGAAAAAAAATAAAATAAAATAAAAATATACAGGGTGGGTCTTAAAAAAAAAAAAAGTATCATGATGGCACTCAAGTTGACCAGGCTACAAAATTCCTGCCACTGTTAATAAAAAGTTACTGTGGAAATCAGTGTGGAGATTCCTCAAAAAACTAAAACTAGAGATTCCATTTGACACAGCTATTCCCTTTCTTGGAATTAAAAGCATCAGACTACAGCAATATATACACATCCATGTTTATAGCCACAGTTTGTAATAGATAAATTTTGGAAACAGCCAAAATCCCCATCAACCAATGAATGGATGAAGATAAGGGTTTTTATACAATGGAGTATTACTCTGCCATAAAGGAGGAAAAAGTTGAGACATTTTTAGATAAATGTGTGCACCTTAAAATCATACTCAAGTGAAAAAAATTAGACACACATGTTTAAGTACTGCATTGTTTCTCTGTGAGAAACCAAAAGTGTAAATAAGGACCAAGATGTATAATAGATGTTGTGAAATAGGAAGAAAATGTTCAAATAGGAAGAAGAACTAGGGAGGGAGGAAAAGGAAGTAAGGAAAGGAAAAGAAAAGAGAATAGAAGGAAAAAATGGAAACAAAGCTTTTGTAAATAAGGAGGGGGAGAAGGGTTCAAGGGAGAGGAGGGAATGGGAAGAATCAAAATATATCATGTACAGGTAACCCTAGGGTGTTATCATTAGGTATATCTAAAACCTACTAATAAAATTTTTTCAATTTTAAAATAAAATGAAAAAATAAAGAGTTAACATTTCTGGAATTCTACTGTACTGCACACATGGTTCTAAGGTTTTACATGTACTATCCCATTTGATTCTCATAACAACCCACTATAACAATGAAAAAGTAGAGAGAGAACAAAGAGGGGAAATGCCTCTCCCACACTCACATAATGGAAATGCCTAGCACCAGAGTTTGTTCTCCAAAAAAGACAGAAAAACACCCAGAAGTCATTCTACAGAGTGGTAAGTGCCAGGGCACAAACTAGGAGAAGGTGCTAAGAGAGCACTAAGGAAGAGCCCATGCCAACATATCAACACATATCTCTTTTTTTTTTATAGTGTCTCGTTATGGCCTTGAACTCACTGTTTACCTGAGGCTGGTCTCAAACTCACAGCAATCCTCCTGCTTCAGCCTCCTGAATGGTGGGATTACCATGCCATGTTTACCAATACATTTGAGTCCTTCCTCCTCTCTCCTCCCCCAGCACTGAATTTTCTCGCAGTTACACCATAACTTATTCATATTGTTGTATCCCAGTTCCTGACCCATCTCCTAGAGCTCAGATTATTATTGAACTGAGCAAAAGTGTCAAAATGTTAGAATGTCTGCTTCAAAATTCTATTTTCTTGGAGTGCTGAAAGAATGAGGCTATCTATGAACCCTTAAGAATTAAAGAGTAAAAAAAAGGAGCTAGGAGTTCTTTGTTTGGACTTCTTGAAGGAAAATGATATTCAAATGCAATAAAATGCTTTGTTTATTGGCTGTCTGCATTCATAGACTGATCCCACTGTATTTGATGAAAGCTTAGCATACAGGGTCCCTGGAGGGTAGTTTCAGACACATCAGTGAGGCACCCCACTGACCACAATGACTGTTAAGATATGGCCTCCAGGGTCTGAGGATTTAGCTCAGTGGTGTCGCCACCTGCCTTGCAAGCTTAAGGGCCCAAGTTCGATCCCTGGTACCAAAAAAAAAAAAAAAAAGAGAGAGAGAAAGAAAGAAAGAAAAGAAAAAAGATATGGCCTCAGTGTTATAGCTTGCTTCCTTTCCCACTCATACTCTAAGCACACTCTATAATCACACAAGGTAGAAGCCCCACTCACCAGTAATACAGAAGTTTGAAATACAGGTCTCAGTTCACAAGGTTTTCCTGTATGCCGAAAGTATTACTTTGATCTTCCTGTACACCAAGGGTAATTAATGCTCACTTCAGCAGTACATATACTATACACCAAGGATAATTCTCACAAATCCTAGGGTCCTGGGATTAAAAGAGAGAGCAGAAAGCTATGGAACAGCCTACATGCCCATCAGCAGATGAACAGACAAAGAAAATGAGATACATATACACAAAATGGAACATTATGCAGCCATAAAAAAGAATGAAGAAATCACGTCATGTGCAGGAAAATGGATAGACCATTGTGTTAAATGAAATAAGCCAAACACAGAAAGCCAAATACCATGTGTTTTCTCTCACATAAAGAATAGAAAACTTTTCTTAAAATAGAGAGAAGATTTGAAAGAAGGCTAGAAGGGAGACTATTAGAGAAGAGGAAGGGATCCCGAAAGGGACTAAGGTAACTGGGCGGGAATGATCAAACTAGGTGACATGCATATATGAATGTGCCAAAACGAAACGCACTAGTCTGTATAATTAAGATGCACCAATTTTTTTAAAAAAAAAAAGGTAAAGCAAAACTGTGGAAGTTTGAAGATGATGACATGATGATAGCAAACATTTATCAAGCATCTATGTGCCAGGCACTGTACCAACCTTTAAAAATGCCATTTCTAGCCCACTTATAGCTTTGTAAGGTGTTATGATTTGCCTCATCTGACAAATGGAGAAACTGAAGGTAAGAGAAGCTAAGGGATGTGCCCCAAGTCACTTGGTTACTATGTGAATAATGAAGCCGAGATTTGAACCAAGGTCTGACGCCAAAGCTTTTAGATTACGCAAAACTATTTCCCAATAATTATGGTGATGGGGTGGTGGTGATAATGGTAGATGATGATAATGATGATGATGATATCCAAACTATTTACCATTCTGAAAAACAACAGTACCTGAGATGTCTTAGGGCAAAGACTGAAGAGTTTATAGCAAATCACAACAGGGTCAGTGCTGGAAAACTTCAGCAGGGTTTGGCTAGCCACAACTCACTTCCATAGCTTGCTTCCTGGTTAGGACAGGCAGAAGAAAAAGCCAATTAGTGTTGCAGGTTACCTGGAAACCACACACCCCAGAGGCAAGGACACGTGCTTTCTCCAGACGGAATTATCAGCAGACTTGCTTGTCCTACGTCTGGGAATAGAGACACAAAGTAGAGATGACTCACTGTCATTAGGAAATCTGAAGCTGTGTTACCTGCCTCTACACATTTTGATGGGGTCCCAGGAAACTTCCCAGTCCTAGTCCAATAACACAAATTAGTGACCCAAAAGAATATTAGCACTGGCAGTTAAAACTTGCTTCACTGCTGAAAACTTGATTTCTGCCTATAGCAATCCTACAATAAAAAAAGAAAGAGAAACATCTACGACCTTGCTTTACACACCCTCAGTGATTAGTGTTCGGCACCTCACAATGTAGCTATCCCACTATGAAACAGTTCTAGACTTTATGGTTCTCCTGAAACCTCCCTCCCTAAAATCTGTCAAAGATAACTTGTACAGAATTAACCCAATGACCTGATTTTTAAAATTTGATAGCTAGACAACAACACCTTACTGTCTCTTTTCTTCCTCAAGAATGCAGCCAAGAGGAGAACTTGGAGGTGCCAAGCTCTTAGGTGCCTGCCAGACAATCATTTACCAACCTGCCCTGTTTTCCAAGCTCACATCACAGTGCCTGCCCCAGGGAACTCAGGCATGTCATTAGTGCTAACTGTGGGGCTGCCAAGGAAACCTTCCCACAGTTTGCAAACATGCTGCATACACACCATAGGCAAGGAAACACTGGAGCCCCCAACGGAGATGAGAAGGAACCAGGGACTGTCCTGGAGCAGTACTGTTACAGCCTTTGGACCTGATCTTGGATTCTTTTATTTTCCAAAGACAGGAATCCCTCTTCCTCTGTCCTTCCTTTTTTCTCACAGGGGCTATACCCATTCTCAGAATCTACAAGCATGGAGAGAGACCTACTTCATCATGCACAGAGGTAAAATCTCAGCAAGTCTAAGGAGATACTTTTATTTTTATTTATTTCTGAGTGTGTGGTGCTAGGGGTCAAAGCCAGAGCCTTGCACATGTTAAGCATGAGCTCTACCACTGAGCTGTATTCCCAGACCCGAGGAGATCATTTTAAAGGACAGCATCCACATTTTTGTCAAAAGACTGTTGTAAGGATCTTCTTTACAGTGAGAATTTGACTGATGCCCTTGGGAATATTTTACAGAAGATTTTTGGATAAGAAAATGATTTATCTTCCCAGCAGCAGAATTGTCAAAAACAAAGAACACACTTTTTTCACACCCAAAAGAAAACTTTCTTAGAAATATTAATATGTCTTTTCCATGAAGGAATCACTTGCTTCTTGGTAGTTTCTCCATCTTTAGGCCTGGGCCAAAGCCCCGACTGGAGTTGCCACAGGGCATGAGAAGTGGCATTGCAGGTGGTGCACCTTGCTGGCCAGGACCCACCCTGCCTGCAAAGGGTCCACAAGAAGATAAAGTGAGTCGGGAGGCTCACGTTATTTCCCCTTCCCTGCTCTAGCCTGAGTTGAGCTTTAAATCTTTTGACTAAATTTCAGCTCTGTGTTAGAACTTACAGGTGTGCTGCAAAGTTTCTGTCTCCAACCTGAGGTAAACAACTTTATGGGACCATTTATCCATCCACATGGTATCCCAAAATATTTCCAGATGAAGACAGACAGCCAGTTGACCTGAAGACCAGCCGTCTCTCAGCAGCCTGGTTCTCAGAGATTAGTCCTCAGCTTCCAACAGGGGTGGGGAGGTGTCAGGGACCAGGACCAAAGAAAGTCCACTTACTGTGTCTGCAGACAACACGTGAGAAGGGAGGTCTGAACTCCGTCCACTCTCCAGGCCTCTCCAAATTCCTGTTAGAAACGGACTTCCGGGAGATAGGCAAGGAACAGGCCCTTGCCCTGTCTTCAGCAAGTTTTCTGTGGACTTTTAGCTAGTCACCTCAAATTGAAAACACTGTCGGGCCTCTTGCTCAACTCCAGCTCTGGAGTGACTCGCAGAGGAACTAGAGATGCCAACGGGTTTGTTGAAAAGTAATCTTATTATTAAAAGCTCGCCTTTTGCCTACAGAATTCAGATCACTTAGCCCTCTAAATCACCTTTTCAAAAAGTAAAACCCAAGGCCATCCTCCCCGGGAAACCAGTCTAGTGGAAATCAGTCATCCCGCTCTGCCGCTGCATTGCTCCTAGCTAGTTTCCCGCCGGGCGCATCGGAGGGAGCCAGGCGCCGGGGGAGCGCGCTCTCCGCGGGGATGGAGCCGCTAAAGTTTAACCGCCGCCTAGGGCCCAGATCCCGCCCAAGGCACCGACGCCGCCCTCCCTCTCCCTCCCAAGCAGAATTCCTGGCATAGTTTCCCCTGCAGCCGGCTCACCTTGGGGTCACCCGGAACTGGGGGCAGAGACTAGAGGTCTCGAGGAGGCTCCCCCTCTCGCCCGGTCCCGCCCGCCTCCCGACTCACTGCGTCGCCCACGCAGCCCCCGGAGGCCGTTCTTTCGATCTCGCCCGCAGCCAGCTGATGCTGACCCAGATCCCGCCCAAGGCACCGACGCCGCCCTCCCTCTCCCTCCCAAGCAGAATTCCTGGCATAGTTTCCCCTGCAGCCGGCTCACCTTGGGGTCACCCGGAACTGGGGGCAGAGACTAGAGGTCTCGAGGAGGCTCCCCCTCTCGCCCGGTCCCGCCCGCCTCCCGACTCACTGCGTCGCCCACGCAGCCCCCGGAGGCCGTTCTTTCGATCTCGCCCGCAGCCAGCTGATGCTGCGGCGGAGACAGCGCCCGCCCGGATGGGACCGGAGCAGCAGCCCGGGACCTGGGGTCTCCGGTGCCTCGGGGGCCTCGCCTCCCGGAACAGCCATCCCACCCTTCTCCGCGGAGAGGCGGAGCCTCTTCCCACCGCCCCTGGGACTGTATTTTTAGTTCCTCAATGGATGGGAGGAGGGAATGCCACGTTTAATCCGTTAAGAAAATCCAATAGCCAAAGGCCTGTCCCGGCGAAGCTCAGGGAGGCTGGACCTGCTCCCAGCCCCCACCCCCGGCACACGCAGATGCGCGCACCCTGCGGAGGATAGAGCCGCAGGCAGCCTGAAAACGGACTGTTTCTGCTCTTCCCCTGCCTCGCGTGGAGAGAACCTCGTGGGTGTTGACTAGAACCCAAGTTAGGAAAGTCCGCGGCGTGTGCTCCAGTCTCATCAGAGATCAACCACCTTCCCGAGCTGTAGTTCTTTTGCCTTGGCCCAGCCAGGGAACTTGGTGGGACCACGGGAACGAAAAAGAAAAAGCAACTTAATGAGACACCCTTCTCAAAATTTAAAAAAGAAAAAGCTGGGGACACAGCTCAGTGCAAAGGGCCTACGTTCATTTCTCAGTACCACAAAAAGGAAAAATAAAGTCTACCTGGCAGAGGTGTTATAAGAATCAAATTAACTAAAATATCTCCAGCCTCAGCTGAAGCCTGGGCAATCAGTCATGCGCCCTTTAGACTTCACAATATCTATAAAGTCACTTGAGTATTTGCTTCCCGTTTGCTTTCCATTGAATCCCTGAAACTTATAAAAAGTAGCTGTTTCAGTCAGTTTCTCACCATTAGGACAAAATATTTAACACCCACAACTTTAACAAGATGTTTATTTTGGCTCCTTGATCTCAGAGGTTTCAGTCCATAGTGACCTGGCCCCAAGGTCTGAAGGGCATAGCAGAGAAAAGCTGGTCATATCATGACACCCAGGAAGCAGATGGGGAAGGGAGGAATGCGGAGGGAGATATACCCTTCTAAGTCATGCCCACAGTGAACCGCCTCTTCTAACCAGGTCCTGCCTCCTAAAAGCACATTTAGCCATGGATTCATCAGTGATTGATTCACTGATAAGTATAGCACCCCCATGATCCAATCACCACCTGAAGGCCCCACCTCTGAAAACGTGAGATTTTGATGGACATTCTGCAACCAAACCATAACGTATTTCTGAGAGTACCTGTGCACATACTTACATGTATTATTTCCATCAGCCTCAATTTTCTCCTGTTATAAATGGAGTGTCCTTTTTCTTAAGGTTGTTGCAATCAAGCAGAGTTGACAAACACCCTGATCTACTTTACCCATAAGCCAAAGCCTCCATCTGAAGCTGACCAAGACCCTTCCTAGACCTTGATTCAGAACCCAGTACAGTGAAGTTTTGAGGGCCTACTATGTGCCAAAATCTGTTTTTAGTTCTAAGGATACCAAGAGCTAGATCACTTAGTACTGGGCAGCTGTCACCCTCTGATACCACAGCACACACACACGACTTGGTAGCACTAGTGGGGACTACAAATAGTTCATGACCTAGGAATAAGTCAATGGAGACTGACTCTAATTGCCTACATCAGGAGATATTCCTGCCACCTTAAGCAGCTGGGCCACTGTGGAAAGAGAGGACAGGAGGTTAGGTTTTCAATATCTGCAGTTTCTCCTTTTTTCTCTACCCCTTATTCTTCCTCCTCAGCCCAGCACTAGAAAACTGACCTCTGACCCAGCTCATAACTTGTCCCCTTTCTAAACCTTAGGACATGGCAGGAAATAGTGGGACACACCTGGGGAATCCACAAAAGTAGTGTCACCTGCTGTCAGCTATTGCCACCACACCTCAGAAGCCAGCTCAAATTCCACTTTCCTAAAAGGAAATCCAGAGCATTTGAGGTGATTTTAAGTCAAAGATGTGTGGTTGAGTTTTCACAGGGCTATTGTATAGACAAGAAGGCAGAGGGCGATGGTACATAAAAATCTTGTTTGCTGATTTCTCTTGAAAAATCTGAGGATCTGGCAGCAAAATGTCTGAATACTTCCAAGTCTAGAGATGAGTGGAGCAGAGGGGGAATCTCTTCCTTAGGCGGAGCCCACATCCAAGCCAATTCACTGAAAAGATCACTTTGAAGGAAGACTGTTGGCACTTGCAGGAGAGGCTTCCTTTCTTAGGAAAAAGGTCTCTTCTACAGGGCCAGAATAAACCTAAACAGGCCTGCTTGCTGAATGAAGAAACAAACTAAGGCATGTCTGGCTGGCTGTGATCCAGACACTCATTGGCTGGCAGTGATGAGTTACCCCAGCATCTTCCTGCCTGAGATTCTAGCCATTTTAGTAATTCCCCTTTGGCAGATACATTGGAAATAAAGCTATGAAAATATTAGAAAACACCTATGTAATATAACAATATTTTTGTTTATGAATTCATTAAATGGCAAGGTCTAGCATTTGATCTAAAAGCAATGACAGCATAAGTAATATTTCAAGGTATCTGTGATATGATCTGAAAGCACCAGTAATAAACATCTCAGGTCAATGAACAATGACAGTCGTATGTACCAGTACTATAACTGTGGTTTGTGGCCTACATTCATAACTGAAGGAAATACCTTTTAAATAATAGTAAAAATAAAGATATAAGTTCACTGGGTCTGGGGATTTAGCTTAGTGGTTCCAGCGCCTGCCTCACAAGCATAAGGACCTGAGTTTGATACCCGGTACCCCCCCCAAAAAAAAGATATAAGTTCACAGGCTGCGAAAATCTATTCACAAACCACCAAGTTAATGAGCATGATACTGGGTCCAGCAGACCCTTCCCTTACTTTTCTATGTAAATTTGTACTTTAGCATAATAGTAGCTGGTTGTGCATGTCAGAACCTTTCCCTAAGGGATACAGGAGTCAGTCTATGTGCTTACCCACTTAGTATGATAAACAGCAAGATGTGTGCTTATGTGCAAAAGTGGCAAAATGTGATTTTTATCCATATCATGCTCTGTGTAACTGGTATGTGTTTACCCAAGCATCACAGAGGGTCCAATAGACACACACCACTCCAAGAATTTTTTTTTTAAGTTTTCTTTTGACTTTTCTGTTAGAAATAGCCCAATTCAGTACAATTGCACATGAAAAACCAGATTTGCAAATTTTGGAGGAGGTGAAAAATGAATCATCAGGGCCAGGAATTTTTCTCAGTGGCTCTGGCACCTGCCTCACAAGCACAAGGTCCCAAGTTCGATCCCTGGCATCAAAAAAAAAAAAAAGAATCATCAGATTACTCATGAGTGAATGATGAAGATGCTCCATTATGTTAAAATACATGCTTTCATGGGCCGGGGATTTAGCTCAGTGGTTCTGCCACCTGCCTTGTAAGTGCAAGGACTAGAGTTCAATCCCCAGTACCAAAACATAAAACATGCTTTCATAACAGAAGAGTGGTGTGGATGGATGGATGATGATGATGATGATGACAATGACGACGACGATGATGAGGATGATTTTGGCATTGGCCATGTGAGCCAAAGTTCTTGTGACTGTGAAATGGAGCAATAATTGACTAATATAGACTCAGGGAATGCAGCCCTCCTTGATTCAAATGATAAAGAAAACAGCAGTGTGAGTACATATTTGACTAGTTGAAATGTTGCAAAATGGCCATGCAACGAAATGGAACAATCCAGTGTTAGAACTATGTCTGAAAACACAGTTGGGGCCTTGGCAGAGGTGAAATATATTGGACAAAATGCCAACACTTCCATTCAATTTTGGAAATTGTAGCAGATGAAATATTTGAAATACTTCAAGACACTGTGAAATACACAAAGGCTGAAATGCGAGTAATATATTCTGTATGCACCAGCAGCCATATTCAAAAATGTTATTTATTAAGACATCTCACTAGCTTAATTGAAAGTATTCATAGGTCTGGTGTACTTAGCAAAAATTTCTCATGGAAATTGGAGGAATGTAAGACTTATGCAAAAGCTAACAGTCAAAATATGGCACAAAAACTTATGCTTTTATAGATGCAAAGACTTATTATGCTTTCAATTTAGACATCTGTCCTGGAACTCAGCCACCAGGTCCTTATTTGTATAGTAATAAGTCAAATGATGTTGTGAACAGACTTCTTGTTCTCATCTCCCAAACTAATAGAAATGTAACATTCAACAACTGGTTTACCACTTTCCAGTTGATGTGATATTTGATAACAGTGTACAAGTTGACCAGTGCAGGAACTATATTCAGGAAAAAGCAGAAATTCCAAATGAAATGCTGCTATTTCAAAACAGAGAATTGTAATAGTACAATCTTTGGATTTCAGAAAGATATAACATTGGCCTAGTATATGGCAAAGAAACAAATCGGTCCTGCTGATGTCAATATTGCACCATGATGGGAATATTGATAGGAAACCTTGGCAAAATTGAAGCCTGAGATGGAAACTTTCTACAACAAAATCAAAGGTGGAGTAGATGTTGATGAGTTATGCAGCAACTATGATGTCACTTGCAATGCAAAGTATTGGCCAATGGTTGTGTTTTTCTCAATCCTAAACATGTATGGGATAAATAGTTTGATAGTTTACAAAGAAAATAAGTTTAAAATATCATGGATAAATTTTCTTAGATGACTGGGACTGGTAGTCATAAGAGATCATTTACAGCAGAGAAAAAGTAAGATGTTTCTTCCCAGGGACCTACACACACACACAAAAAAAAAATTTGTGGAGAACACAGGTGAGCTGACAGGTGAACAGGCAGGTACAGCATCACAAAGAACTACTATGACATCAGGAAAACAAAAAAGATGTCAACTATGCCCTTCAAGAAAGGACAAGAAAACAAAACAGATGTGCTATCAGAGTAAGTGACACTTGTGTATGGAACATGCAGTTTTCATGTGTGAAAACTGTCTTGGGAGTGACAGTTCAAGAAAAGATTACTTCTATGGTAGACTTTTGTTTGTGTTCACATTGTAGTTCACATAGGTTTTTGTTTCTGATGTTATCTTTTAGGTTTTGTAAGCAAGTAAACAGCTAATGTGAAAATGTTGATGTCTATTCTAAGCACTTATTACATATTTTATTTTATTGATATCTTATTTCCCTGCTAAATGCATATTACAAAATATAGTAGGAAGCTCCTGACAAAACAGGAAGAGAAGAGAGGTGACAAGAATGGCCTGCCACATAGGAGAGATGTGCTGTCAGATGTGTGCATGGAACATGCAGATGTCATGTGTGAAGACTGCCTTGGGTATGACAGTTGAAGCAAAGATTATTTCCGTGGTAGACTTTTGTTTGTGTTTACATTGTAGTTCACATAGGTTTTTATTTCTCATGCTATCTTTTCGGTGTGGTAAGCAGGTAAACAGCTAATGTAAAAACATTGATGTCAATTCTAAATGCACAATGCATATTAAGAACTTAAAACTTAATTTTACTGATATTTTATGTTCCTGTTAACTACACACTGGATAATATAATAAGAAACTTCTGACAAAACAGCAAGAACAGTGAGATGTCATGTTCTACAAAAAGGCCAGGAAAGCAAAGCATATGTGCTGTCAGTATAAGCAATATGCATGTATGGAACATTCTGTTGCCATGTGTGCAGACTGCCTTAGGTGTGACAATTGAAGTAAAGATTATTTTTTGTAAAGTGCTATTGGTATTTTCCTTGTAGTTTATATAAGAATTTATTTGTGTTGTTGTTTTATAGACCCTTTACACCAAAAAACAGTTAATGTTGAAAATTTGATGCTTTTTAATAAACATTCAATATTCAAAATTCAATACTTTATTTTTATAAATTTTTCCATATAATAAAACTCATACAATTTTAATATAATAAAACTCATAAAATCAAAATTAATAATTCATCAATAGAAATATTCTAATAAGTATTTCTCAGACCCACATTTATTAGCCTTTGTGAAAAAAATTAATGTTATGCTCCATGGGCTAAGAATTCCTATTCCAGTATCATCCAGAAAAGCACATTAACCTTGCCACTTAGTTTAGTAGTTATATAAGCAGGGCAGTAGGCAAATATGTAAGCATGGAGTAAAACCTAAAAGACATAATCGAAAAATAAGAGATTGGATTAAATAAAGTTTTAAAACATATATGGTGAACGCCCAATAAGTGAAATTGAAAAACAAAGGACAGACAAAAAGGTAATATAAAAATAACATATTAGTGTTATTTACATGCAGAGTGGTTACAAATCAATAAACAACAGAAAACACAACAGAAGAATGGACAAAAGATATTTCATAGAATAAGAAAATATGTACTGCAAATTACAGATGTGAAACACTCAACTTTACCAAAATTAACATGAAGACTATGTTGACTAATTCTCCCCCATATCATTACCATTTTTTGAATTATTATTTTCTACAATACAAGCTAGATTTATTACATAATAGTTTATTAATTTATTTCCCACATTTTATTAATCAAAAACTTATTTTACTGCCCGGTAAAGTTCCTATAAACATCAAGTTATCATTATTGCCACAGTAAGTTCATATAATCACAGTACAGCATAGGAAACATGACACATAGATTAACCTATCTGGTCTCATCACAAGACACTTCATTATGTTTTGAAACGTGAATATTTCTACTCGGGCCCTTCTAAACCCTAGCAGTCTGGAATGTTACCTGAATGCAGTCAGCATCTGTGACCCTACTTGCCTGAGCAGTCTAACCCTAGTAAGCTTCACCTGTGGAGAGCTGAGAACCAGCAGACCTTCCAGGGACACAACCCAGAGCTCAGTCATGGGGTATGGGGGAGGCCTCAGAATCTGACTTGGGTGTCAGAAATTCCAGAGCAATAAATAAGCCTGTGGCAGGAGATATGTCTTGTAATAAAACTATAAAAAAGATGATTCTCAAAGTGAAAAATCTTAGAATAAAAGGAATTGGTCAAGTGTACTTTAATAAGTCATCATACTTTTATATTTGGAGAAAAATCTGAATTGTTTCCCATAAAGCAAACTACCAAAAGGAAAGTTCTAGAAAATCTTGGCTGATGAGTATTAATATTCCATACCTTTTGAAAAAGGAGGAAAATTATTTTTTACTTTTTAATTACAAAATTAAATATATATGTGGGGGGGTATAAAACATAATGTTTCAAAATAAAGGAGGTAAATTTTTATATGACTCTAAAAAAAAGGGGTAGAAGTTTTAAATAGTTTATATTTGTAATTTGCTTTATAAGCCATGGCAAATCTGTGTATTGGAAAGGGGTAGTATAAAGAATGGCACTAAGGTGGGGAAAGGAACATCCTAGGGACAAGTGTCTAGCAATTAAGATTAACTGTAATTCTCATAGGTCCCCTCTTAGTTCCTGCAGGAGTGAATTGTTATGAAAGGAGGAAGCCTGTCTCTGAGCCACTCTGGTTTCCTGTCTCACCATGTGCCCATGCTACTGTGATGCCATCCTCCAGGAAGTCCTTGCCAGAGACCAGACCTATGGAGCCACCTGAAGTTTGACTTCCAGGTCCCAAAACTACAAGTAAAATTAACCTCTTTTCCCTATAAATTATCCATTTTCATGTTTTTCTTTATAGCAAGAGAAAATGGACTAATGCAAATGTCAAAAACAAGACTGGAAATCAAGTCTCTTTTTTTCCTCATGCTCTAACAAGTTCTAGACACAATCTTACAGTATTGACTAGAACATATAGCCAAAGTGTTAGCTGCATTATTCCCATACCTAGTCGTTCTTGCAGCTACATTCTGGCCCAGGAGATGGCAGACCAATTAATACTTGCACGCATTTGGTTCTTGCAAAAAGTCTTTATAAAATAAAAAGGGTATCCTCTTCTTCCTCTCTTCATCCTACTGCCTGAAATGCAGACACAATGGGCTGGTGGTCCAGCACATACATGGGCCATGGGCTATGGGCACTTAGACTGACAGGTAGAAAGATATAAGCCTAGGTCTCAGGGGACCACTATTACCATACCTGCCCTGAATTGCTTGCCTTCAGACTTCTTTTTTATAAAAGAGAAATAAACACCCTTCTCTGTTTTCATCATTTGCCTTTCTCCCTTCTCTATTCTGTGTCTGCCACACAGCCACTATTATTTGGGCTGGTTCTATTATAGATAGGGAAAGCTAATCCTGACTTAAGGGTAAGCCACAAACCTCTGGAGACAGTGAAGATCAGTGAGAGTATGGAAGTCCAGGAAGCTAAGTTTCACATAGCAGCGGCAACTCAGCGTTGGCTTTTTGTTACCTGGACCTGGTCACTGACACTTTTGGGCCTTGAACCAGGTGCCTGTAAGTTGTTGGACAGTACTTGCGATAGAGATTTTCCACCAGGGTGTTGCTTCCTTTAATCACAGTCCTCCTCCCCTGGTTCATGTGATTCCATAGATGCAGGGCATAAGAGTCATTGAAGTTTGGTTCTGGGTCCCAAACTTCATAGTAGCGCCTCCACTTTGAGTAGGAAATGGGATAAAATCTGTGAGGATGTAGGAAGGAAATGTTCTGACACCTGAGGTCACTGAGCTCTTGGAAGTTTCCAAGTTTACACCACACCCTCAACATCCTCGTTATCAAACGGGGACCTTGATTACCCCAAATGTGTGAGTTATAGTGTTCGACAAAATTTTCCATACATTCCCACAAGAAGGGGTGACGGGGTAAGAACCCAAACACCCCATTACTGGAGACCTGAGAAGCCTGTGCGGCCAAAAAGTTTTCTTCGGGGATGGGTCTGATGGAGATGATATCAGTGTCCATGTAGACGCCACCGTATTTCCAGATGATGGCCAGACGACATGCGTCGGAGCTGACATGGAGCCAGTGTCTCTCTACCTTGCTGTTGATCTGAGGAAGCAGGTACAAATCAGCCCCAAGCGGTGAGGAGACAGGGGAGTGGGCCAGCAGGCCAGGCCCAGACTACCTGGGGAGGGGTGAAGCAACCCAGCTTTCCAAAAACCTATTTGGCCACAAGTTCTATTTCACAAAGTTTCCCAACTAACCTCCATCCCAACCTCCAACTTTCCTTTAATTAAAAAGTTTCAGGGATTAGTTTCAGTGGAAAGATTTTAGCAGCTTTTGAAAAAGATTTCATTAATTTTTTAATTAAACTAGTAGAAAGTTAAAGAATAAATCCAGCAGGAATTGCACAATGAACTGTATGAGTCGTTTTTCATTGTGGGTGTACATTAACCAAAAATATGAAATAGTGAATAAAGAACCAAAGAAAGTCCTCAAAAATGCTGAAAATTGAAATAAAAAATAAACTAGGAAATTAGGGGAAAAATCAATATGTGTGCTAGTTGAGGAATTGGTAAAAGAAAATCTTAAATCCATGTAATGCATGCCTTTATTTGTTCATTAATTGCTTTAATAATATTCCTCGAGGAGCTACTTATTATGTGCCAAGCTTTGTTAAAGCTGCTAAGAATATGGCAGTAAACAAATATGCAAAAATTCCTATAAGGAGGAAACAGACAACGAACAAATGTATACTTTGTTGATAAAGGCTATGATTTTTTTTAAAGCTTCATGATAGGATATATATAAAGGGGCAGGATGGAGCACAATATTACATTAGGTTCCAGCAGAAACTTGAATGAAGTGGGTGGGAGAACCGTGGCCATATCTCATCTAGTAGAAGAAACAGCAAGTGCAAGGGCCCTGAGGCAGAAGCACAATGGCTGTGTGGCAGACACAGAATAGAGAAGGGAGAAAGGCAAATGATAAAAACAGAGAAGGGTAAGGATGAAGAAGGAGAAACTTTAAAATGATGTGAAAAGTTTAGAAGAAAAGAGCAATATGAATTAGTTTTCAAAGGTCACGTTGGCTGTTACGTGGGAAAGAATCTGGGGCAGGAGCGAGATGACAAGGACAGAGGCAAAGAAGCAAATAAGAAGGCTGTGAAATAATCCAGGCAGGATTCGTGATGACTTGGTCCGGGGTGACAATGTGGTGAAAGAAGTGGTCAGATTCTGGGTACATGTAGCAAATAAAGCTGATCAGTCTTTGCTGATGGATTCAGTGTGGGTTGGGAAAGAAATGTGAGCAAAACAGTAATGCCAGAACTCAAGAGGCTAAGGCAGAAGGACTGCCATGAGTTCAAGGTCAGGCAGGGCTACATAGTGAGTTCAAGGCCAGCCCGCACTACAAAGCAAGACCTTGTCTCAAAAAAGAGAAAAAAATAAAATAAAAAGCAAGGAAAACAAAATGGCCTTTAAAGGAATAAAAATAAATCAGTATAAATATCAGTGTTCTTATAAAGAATGCTAAGATCTCAAGTACAAAAAAATAAAATATATTTTTTAATTTAAATGTTGATTAAAGAAGTATACAATCACCCTTGGCTTTTGACAAAAAATAGGCATTCTTTTAAAGTTCTGCTATAAAGTCAAATGAGAGTATGTCAACTAGAACTCTCCAGAAATCTTCACAAGTTATTAAAAAACCATACTATTTTTAATTGTTGAAGACCTCATAAATAGCAATAACTTGGTCCCAAGTTCTTTGTAATTTACATAAATTCTCAAAGATAGGTTAATGACTGTTCTTATTTTTTCAAGTGAAAAATTAGAAGTATAGACATTCAGGGGAAGGCAAGGAATGATTCTTGCCTGGAGTCTCTGCTGGGAATGTGGGGAATGTGATCCTTTCGATACACTGGTATTGGCTCATGAAACTAGTGTGGGACTTCTGTCCTCCAGAGCAGAGAGTATGAACAAGATGCGTGTCAGGATTCTAAAAGTCACGCAGACCCAGAGGAGCATTAGAACAAACATCAGTCTGAAACACAGAGCTCCAATAGGATTGAAGATGAGAAAGAGGTTTGGGGTACCATCTCCTCAGAGGACAGTTGCCCATCCCCACCTAATGCCCACAGTACTCATCCCTGGGTATCTTCAGGGGCTACAATTGCCCAGATCAGTGTGGCAAACTCAGTGGTCATTAGCAAGTGATGCCCCTTTTGATCTTCCTAACAGGTGCCCCTTGCTATTCAATGATAACCTAAATGGGGCAGAACATGCCATAGCCCAGTGCACTGAAGGTATCATGGTGTGAATGCTGTGGATACACAACCTAGTATAGTACCATAAAGGCTGAGATGGAACAGGCACTTGGGGCTCTGAATCTCAGGGTCCACCCTACACCTAAAGCCTGACCTATAAAATTTAGGAGCAGCTCAGAGCAACTCAAGCTGTGTTCCATGGAACATTAAATTCCAATAAATTATTTTTGTGTCACACTGGAAGAAGGTTCCATGCTCAAATAAGTTTAGGAAGTAATGAATTGAATCAAGTTAAAGTTTATTTCATTCAGAACCATAAAGAGCCATGAATTGTCTGTGAGAAAAGGATGTCATATGCACCATCTTCCCAAATAATGTGATTAGGGATTTCTTTTTCCAAGGAACAAAACACTGTTTAGATAGTGTTAGTCTAACTGAAGTATGGAAAGTACTGGTATAGTCCTGAAGGAGGGAGGCTGTGAAGACCTAGCTGGTTATGTCCCCTCCACTCCCACAACCTGCCTCCCTGGCCTGTCAGCTACTTGCCAAGAACCCTGCTGTTGGCAGCTGCCAAGACCTAGCAAATAGAAATTCAATCCACTGAAACTGCTCCACAGTCTCCTAACAAGTCCCAATTTGACATTTCCAGGCTCATCAGAAGAACAGATGAGCACTTTGGGATCTAAAAGCCACTGGGATCCAGAGTGAAATTAATCACAGAGGCTGCCCTAAGCCCCACCCCTAACTGCTTGACCCACTAGACCACTACCCTGAGGTACACAATCTAGTCCAGAAAATGTCTCTGACTGACAGCAACTGGGTGCAGATATTCCCAGACCTGCATGAGAGCACAGCCAGAGCCCAGGGTAATGAGGGAATTTTCTCTCTTTTTATATGAATTGTACAGGAGGAAAAAAAAATGGACACCAGATGATATTGGGTCCCAGTTCCTGGAACCTGTAATGTTAACTTGTGCGGAGAAGGAATCTTTGCAGATGTGATTAAATTAAAAACCTTGAGATGCAGAGATTATCCTGGATCATCCTGATACATCCTTAAAAATCATAAATGTGCTTTAAAGAGAGAAGTGGGGGATATTTTATACACAGAGATAAAAGGGAGGATTTGGAGATGGAGGCAGAGCCTGGAAGGATGGGCTACAGGTCCAGGAGTGTCCATGGCTACCAAAAGCTTGTAAGAAGCAAGCCACCCCCAGGGTCTGCAGGGAGTATGGTCTTGCCCATGGCTTGGTATCAACCCAGAGAAGCTAATGTGGGGCTCCTGCCCTGCAGAACTGAGAGGAGAAATTTCTGTTGTTTCATGTCACCAATTTCTGTTGTTTTAAGCCACCAAGTTGTTAGGGAAGCCCTAAGAAATTAACACAAGAACCTAAATAATAACCTTATACTTTGCTGCTTGGCCCACAAAGACTAAAATATTTACTAGCTGACCCTTTATAGGAAAAAAAGTTCCCTAACATTTGGTTTAGCCTATGATGAGGATTTAGATAGGACTATATGTGGCAAGAAAATAGTATTAATGTTAAATCTTAAATTATTTTTTAATTTGAAAAATAACTTTATAAAATTAATGTTCTTATCACTAAATTCATTTCTAATCCAATCATGCTCAAATACTTACTATAATTGTAAACCTTTCTAAAAGTTGTTGGTAGTAGTTATTAAAGTCAAAGTCATTATAGTGACATTTTAATGTGTAGGGGGTTTTCATCCCCTATTATAGTCATCATAAAATGTCAGATAAAGAATCATAAAACCTACTTAGTGAAATCATTGAATGACTGCATTATAAGTTAAGTATTACTTGATAGTGGGAGAAATATTATTTTCTTATTATGCTATGCTGCTAAGATGAGGATTACAAAATTCCTAAGAGCTCTGGAAATTTCTCAGTCATATTTTAATACACCCCAATCTCAACAGTACCATTCCACTGATCCTTTGTGAATTTTCTACTTACATCATTTTCATGCTAAATAGTGCCTGGTTTCTGCCTAAGGTACAAAAACAGTTTAATATACATGAGTTTAAAACTACAATGACAAATAACTATCCCACACATCTGGAAAAGATATTTTAAAAATTCATCCAGTTTAAGAATAGCCTCCAAATTAAGCTAAATCCTAAAAGCTAGAAGCAAGACACCAGCCCAAATATAATTTAAGTCTCATTTGTTCACCTAAATAAGGCTTCAAGGAGGTAGAAAGAGTTAGAGGACCTGGGTGCTAGTCCCAGCTCTGCCTTGAGTCCTTAGCCCCAGTTTTCCCATCTATACAGGAAGTAGGCTGGACTAATTTTCTGTGGGTCTGTTGTTGGTTCCTCCCAACACTGTTCTCTTAAGTTTCCCTGAACACTTACGTGAGTGTACCATGAAAACAAGGGTGTGTTTTCAAACAGCCTGTTCATATCCAAAGGAAAGAAGAAAACGTTGTCTATTGCTGAGAGGAGGGAGAAGGCTGGGTAGCTGGAGTTGGAGGGCAGCTGTGTGGAGTTTTTGAGACCTTTCATGAAGAAGATCACGGGCTGCTCAGGATAAATCTTGGCCGCAGACTCCACAGCACAGGAAACCAGTGGCGGTGGCTCCAGTCTCTCCGAAGTCTCTAGAAACACAATGCTATGTCCCTGGCTCAAGAGGGCATCTGGCCCCTGCTGGGACTTGGAGAAAGGCAGGCAGAAGAGGCAGTGGGACCTCAAGGTGAGCTGGTAAAGGAAGCCACAGGCCAGTAGCAGGACCACAGACAAAGATAACTGGAGTTCCTTCAACATGTCCACTGCTGTCTCCCAAGTTTCCTTTAATCAACACAGTTCATTAAAATTCACAATCAGAGCTTGATAGAAATAGCACACAAAAAATAATGTAAGAATACTACTTATGAACTGAGGAGAGAAATCCTAAATGAAATATGATTAAGTCCAACAGTACTAAAAACAAAAATTTATCATAACTAATTAGGGTTATCTTAGATTTAAGGATGTTTCAATATAGGAAAAATAATTCATTAATACAAAAACTACTAATGAATGAATTGTCTTAGAAGAATACAGAAGAAAAATTATATCACTTTTGCTCAATAGATACAAAAAAAATGGAATAAAATTTGACACCTATTCATGATGTTTTTTTAAAGTATAAGAAAACCTTTTTGCCAGGCTTGGTGATGCACGCCTATAATCCCAGCACTCAGGCGGCTGAGGCAGGAGGATTGCTCTGAGTTAGAGGCCAGTCTGCCTACATAGTGAGTTCAAGGCCAGCCTGAACTACATATATAGAAAGAACCTGTCTCAAAAAAGGGGGGGGGCTGGAGATTCAGCTCAGTGGCACTGTGCCTACCTCACAAGCACAAGGTACTGTGTTCGATCCTCGTTTCAGACAAAGGAAAACCACCAAAAGCAATTTAATCTGATAAATGATGTCTGCCAGAACATATAGTAATCATCTTACTTAATATAAAGTATTTTAAACATAGTTCAATATCAAAAATATCATATAGATGTCACTGTTACTATTCAACATCATTCCTATAATTCTAACCAATGCAATGAAACAAAAAGAAATTTCTACTTTGAATTCAAATATTAGAAAAGGCAAAAGTATCACCAGTGTCAGAAAATAATATTTCACACCTATGAATTCCAGAATTATTTACTGAAAAACTAATATAACTAAGAAAATCAACCATGGAAACAAACTAAAATTTACAAAATTAAGTAGTTGCCAAGATCATATAGTTTGCAACTAGTGGAGTTATGATTCCAACCCAGGCTCTGAACCACCAAGACCATGACTGTCTCTCCATATATGTTAGTTATCACTGGAGCTAACTCCGGAACAGTGATTTCAATTCTTGGAAGGTCTAGTTTTCACATTTCATGTAACTTTTTCAGAAAATACAGAGCTTGTAAACCAGAGCTTACCTTGAAGGTAGAAGCTTGCAGTCAGTCGTATTTGAGGTCTTACAAATAAGGACAAGTTTTTCCTGTATACTTTCTGATAAATCACCACCCACTCTTCCAATTGAACAGTACAGAGATAAGTAAATCATTGGTAGATGATTAAGGCTAAATTCAACAAGTTCCTAGGAAGCTCCTCCCTTACTAAGTCCCCCTAAAACAAACTCCTGGATACAACAGGGAAGTCATAAGGTTTTCCAGGTGACCCACACACTAACCCACCCTGTTTGTGGAGCTATCATTTTGTTTAAGGGGATCACTTCACCTAGAGGAAACTGTATCATAGCATAACTCTGGAGCTAACAAGTCCTGCACCTGGTCAGTTTAGCTTAGAGTCATGGACAGATATTTGGGAAAGTTTATTCACCCGACAATCCTATGATCAAACTCTTCCTTTGCAAACTTCAGGTTTGATTAAAAGAAACGAAAGCCCATAACCACAAATAAGCAGTAGACAAACACCGCTAGTCCAAAGGCCTGGTGATCTAGAATGAGAATGGATTCCCAGTGTCCATTTAGTGACTACAGGAAGTATCCTCTCCCTGAGGCCCCCCTGAGGATATGAGTCTCCTCCTACTCTCACAGAGTCAGCTTTGTTATCCTCAGGTAATATGGCAATCCCCGTACTTCCCAAGGTATTTTCACTCTCCCATCGTCTTTTTCCCATTGCCCCTGAAATGAGCACTCAGTAATTCTCTTTGGAATGAACCTCGCCTTGGAGAAACCACCTGTACTCATTCCAGAGCCCTCTCTCAACCATCACCAGGTATCCACAATCCACTGAGATCCTCTGTGATAAATAGGGAAGACCTCACCTAAGCAGACTGTCAATCCAGACTTAACAGGTCCTACCTTACAGGAGTTAAAGCTGCCCCACTGGGTGATGATGCTAGTTCTCACTCTCCCTGGAGATCCCAGAAATAGCTCTCATCTGTCCACGTGCCTCTTCTTTTTAGAGCTCAGCTCCTTCTCTGGACCGCATCAATTCTGAGCTCAATGAGATTTGGCACCTTTCCAAAGTTCTTTAGTATTTTCTTTTTCTGGCCTGCAAAGGAGAGAGGACATCAGTGCTCTTTCTCCCTGTTAGGGAGTAACTAGAAATGCATTTGTAGAAATGACACATTCTTAAGTGAGTCACCCATCTTGGTGCTTTCCTTCGTGTTGCCCAAGGACTCAAGCCACTGAATGTGTGGTCAAGGAAGAAAGCAGTGAAGAAGTTAATCATCTTTGTCAGGACCAAATGATGTGAGCATACAATGAAATCCTTAGCACAATAGGCTGGTCCTGTCGAAGCGAGTAGAGGGAATAATGGAAATATTGCTGGACTTGTAAATTACACCTCATCTGTCATAAGCTAAAGGCACCAGGAAAAATCTCAGACCCCTTCTAAGTGCAGAAAATAACTGACCTCAGGCTCTTTGTGAGGATGAAAGTGCTCTCTAACCCAAGGAAGCAACTTTCACTTTCCACCAAGGAAAAAAGAAAAGAAAGGGAATAATACGAATGTAGATAGTATCTGGACTCCCTGATAAAAATATTAAATTATTTTATTTCTTCAGATGAAGGAAATCTATTTCCCAGTGAACTTGTAAGAAAGAATTCTTCAACCTTATGTGAGAGTTGGTGATGTGTCCAGAAGCCTGGTTGTAGCTACCTGGGCACTGCTTTTACAGGCTTAGACTTACCGCTTGATGGCCTTCCCAAGTCTCTCTGAGAAGCCTCCTTTTATCTGAGCCACTCCACATAGAATGTCCAAGGGCCTGCAGACACATCCTCTATCCTTCTCTCTGGTAAGAAGAGGAGGGGTGCCTTTCCTTCCTTCTGGTATCCTTTCTGCTGTGCCTGTGGCTTGGGCCACATCAATCTCCTATTGGTTCTGGTGGGTCTCACAGCAGCAGATCTTAACTCAGATTCCACAGATCAGATCCCTAGAGGCTGCAAGGATAAGCTTTAGGGAACCTTGGGGCTACATATTGCCTTAGTACCTTAAACTTAGATGCCAAATACACACATCTCCTTCTACAAATCACCTTCCCTAAGGAATGTCACTGCTCTGACCATCTATTATACTAACTGTTCAAAATTCCTTCAAATGCATTTACTGTATAATCCCACACTCCTAATCAGCCAAAAAACTCCTAAGAACCTAATGTAGATATGTGATTACAGATATACAAAGAGCTATTTGCCTTTGAGCAATAGCTGGGTCTGAACACTCAGAGAGTGACAGTCACTTATGCATCCAGGTATTGTCTACTTTCCATAAATTTCTGCTTTATGTGAGAGAGTTCTCCATTTTAACAGCCAAATTTGGCCAATACAACATACTACGCACCCTGAGTAATTGCTGCTGACTGACAAGATCTTAGGAAATCTGGATTGGTATAGCTCCAAATAAATAAACAGGATAGGAAAAATATCTCTGAATCCAATCTTATTTCTGTTTTACAATTTTGTTCCTTGGATGTTTGGAGGTAGCATAAAGAAGCAGATCAGGGAAAAAAGCTCCAGAATGGGAAAGGAGATTTTCCCAACTCCTCGGCCTTTTGATAACCTCAAGTACAAATAGCCAAGTGTTTAAGGATAAGCTCCTTCTCTCTATAAAGGGCCCACTGTATCTGGTAGGGAAAGTTAAAGGAATTTTCAACAATAAATATTTGTTGAATTGAATTGCACCTGAAAAGCACAGCTCATAATTCTGTAGCTTCTTTCAACTCAGATTTATGTATGGTAAGTAGGTAATGTTCAAACCCACAATACTTGTCCTATTTGATTTGGAGGCTTTGGAAGCACAGTTCCGGTTTTTAATATATTTGTTAAGGAAATTGAATCCATAAGCTTGTAAAAGCATCAGTCATTAAAAGGGCAAAAACAATACACAGTGGTATCTTATCAATATTGCCAATTCCTCCCCTTCCACCTCCCAGTGGCTGGAACAAAACCTGAGGGAGTTAGATGTAAATAAAGGGAAAAGGCCAAGACCAGGCATTTCACTGTGGAGTGAGAAAGAATCCATAGCATGGCATTGGGCAGCCATACAAAAAACACAGAATAATGGATACGTACCAAGGAGGGACATTTTCAGCATTCCATCCAGAATAAAATAGACATTTACCAAAAAATCAATGACTTAGTGGCAGAATTAAAAAATCTCCTTGTCTAATGGAAATATTTTTAACTAGGAAAACAAGTGGAAATATTTTTACATCTCCAATAAAACAGTCCTAGGACCTCGTGACGCAATAGTAGTGCATCTGACTCCAATAAAATGGTCCTTGCTTTGTATTTCTGGCATTTTGTTCTTCACTTGGCCATACTAGTTAAACATGCCTCTGTTTACAAAACCTTACCTAACTGCCTTGAATATGTTTCTGTGTTTGTTCTGCAAATTATTGTATTCGCACATATGATCACCCCACCCTTTTAAAAATGTACTTGAAGATAAAAGAGTTGGTGGGGGATAAAGGCAGAGAGATAAGGGAAAATTATTCTCAGCAAACAAGTTGTGCCTCAGAATCCACTTAGAAAGGCTGAAAAAACAAGGCCTACAAAAAGCCTACAGAAGATTCTTTCTGAGAGTGGACTGTTTCAAGGGACTTTGCTGTTAAATTCTTTAAGCCACAGTTTAGTTCCTTCGTCCTGTAAAGAACTGGAAACATCTTAGAACCACCTATGCTGTGACCCCACGTCACAGGACATCATAAAGACTGTGAGAGTGAGAGCATCTCACTATGGCTGAATGAAACTGCTATGGATTGCGTATTTATGTCCCCCTGAGATTCATAGGTTGAAGCCCTATCCCCTAACAACCCTCA